TATAGCAAAGCTCAAACAAGTACAATGTGATCTTGGTTGGCAAGTGTTTGAATTGTCAGCGTTACAGATACATCTTCTGGGTTTGGCTTAGCCTGTAGTTTTTAGTGGTATCATAAATTTCATTCCTGATATCTAGGAACTAGGAGACAATTATACCACTGGCCCTTTTTCATCTCTTGCTTCCTTTTGCTAGTTTTTAGAACTGTTGAAATCAAAGTGTTTAACTTAACTAGTCACATGGTACAGTGGCAGGAAACTCTGATGGTGTGAAGATACTCGCGGTGTTTGTTTCTAGAGTATCAGGAGAAAAAATTACAAAGTATGCTGGTGACAGTGATGTGGAAGTATGGATAATCCCGAGCTTTGAAAACTCTGCCTGGTCGATCATGGCTATATCATTTATTTCGTTGCTCGCAATGTCAGCAGTACTCGCTACCTGCTTCTTTATCCGTAGACATCGGATACGAAGAGAACGCCCCCGGGCCTCACGTGTTCGTGAATTTCATGGAATGAGTAGTCGTCTGGTGAAAGCAATGCCAAGTTTGATATTTACATCAGTTCTGGAGGATAATTGTACATCTGTAACATGTGCTATATGTCTTGAAGACTATAGTGTGGGAGACAAGCTTAGAATTCTTCCATGCCGCCACAGTAAGTTTATCTCTCTTCCTGACGTCATCATAGTTTACATCAGGGTTGGTGCTGTGCACTGTTAGTAGATATTTCATTTTTTGTGACTTTTTTGGGGAATTTAAATGACTTCCCCCTCATCTACGACTTACAGCCAATCGCAACCTCAGCACAGGCAGCATTTTGATTGATGTTGTGTGCGTAGGTCTTGATGGTTAACTGCTAAAATTGCTTAAGGATTTTTTTTGCTTTTTGGACGAAAACTGTATTACTCAATCCCAGTACTGTTAGTTGCTTTGGCTATTAACCTGTGTGCCTCAATCCCAATCCTGTTAGTTGCTTTGGCTATTACGGACAAACGTTATGATGAGATTTTGCAGATTTATAACTCTACCAAACTTCATAATTTTACTTTATAAAATAAATAGATATTATTCTACCACAATTTTTGGATTGAAGGAATTGTATATAGCATTTCCACTCCAAGGACTTTCTTAAATCGCACAAAACGTTGCATTTTAGTATATATTCAAATCTGTAAAACATTGCTTCAGGAGCGAATTGGAATTAGTGGTGTCAAAGTGGATCAGAAAACCATAGTCTAAAGCCGTTGCAATATATCCTGTTTCTGAAGCTTTCCTAACCAAAAAAAAGATTGTGGAAGTGGTCGGTCACCTGAGTTAATTTCTTTGGGAGGTATCACAAGTCACTAAGCTGCCATTTTATCCGAGTCTCTAACTAAGGCAGCCGAGAGAAGCATTAAATTCTGATATGTTAGGTAAATTTGTATTTTCTATAGGTAATGCAATTACATCGAAGAAACATTTCCAGGAGTGTTGTTGCTCTTTTGTGCTTTTCACTTTTGAAAGAAGTTAAGAAATGGACCTTGGACCTAACTCAACCCCAAAAGCTAGCTCCATGAGGTAAGAATTGCCGAAAGACCATATAAGGGGACAATCCATTTCCTCCTCCACCAATGTGGGGCACTTAAGACGACAAAACATGGGGGCCCAACGAATAGGAATGGGTTTGGCTCTACTACAATGTTAAGAATTGGACCTTGGGTCTAACTCAATCCAAAAGCTAGCTCATAAACTAGGGATTGCCCAAAGATTCATATAAGGAGACTTAACAATTTAGGATACTTAACAAAAGTCTAGAGTAAATCTCAAAATTTATATTCTGGGTCTGTTTGGCTTTTTTTATGAACATTATGATTATCATTGTCAAGATGCTAGCGGAACCTGATATAAATGTTGTTGCCTGTTGCTACCGAATCTTTAGGAGCATTTTAAATTTCTATCTCGTAGGAAATGCACTAATTTAGTATGTTTATGGGGGATTTACGTAACTCTTTAGTTAATAGGAAAAACTTTAGGCAGTAATTTGTTGATATTTGCCATCCTGTGTGTTTTAATAGATTTCCTCTCTATTGGAATTTTGCAGAATTTCACGCTATGTGCGTTGATGCTTGGCTTACATCATGGAGAACATTTTGCCCTGTCTGTAAACGTGATGCAAGAACCAGCAATGGAGATCCTCCAGCATCAGAATCCACACCATTGCTTTCTTCCAGTCTAGCTTCTCTATCTTCATTGTCATCGTCTTTAGCTTCATCATCATCAGCAATACAAATAGGCCCAGGAGGATCATTCCGATCCCCTTCAATTTCTCGTCCTCAATCAATCTCTACTACTCCTTATAACCGCCAGTCACTTCAGTCCTACCATCAGTCTCCTCATCTTACTATAAGTCGCAGTTCACTTGACCTTCAAAATGCATCTTCCCAGAGATCTTGTGCGTCTGCTTTTTTGATTTCCTCTCACTCATTGGGGCTATCTCCTCTTAATTCAAGATACATGTCTCCATATGTTCCTAGTCCAGGAAATGCCTCGTCGAGTTATATTGGATCCTCAAGTCGGTATCCAAACCCTCTACGTCATAGTGAGTCAACCACTAGCTTTTCACCATTTGCTTCAGCTCAGTCTCTTCCGGGATGTGAGTCATGATCTGTTGAATCTGGGGTCAAGCTTGTGCTACCCTGTTTACAGGGATCAATGTGGTTGGGTTGTTTGCACCTCAAATCACACACCTAAAGTCTTTAAAGATCAGCAGCTTTGACACATTGGCAGATGGAGGAATACGGACAGGAACCTCTAGATTTGTACATTATCGCGTGACATTCCCTTATGTTGGTTAAAGGAGGGATATATTCGGTTTTTATTTTGAGGTATTTATGAGTGTACACACGAAAAGAAATGGGTGTTCATACTGTATGCAGTTTGCCCCCTTTACATATCCTTCTTGTTTGTTGTTTTGCTTTTTGTTTATCTAGTGTTATTGATGTTCTTAGGAGTCTCCTTTGCTAGATGGTTTAGGTCTTTTAGTTGAAACATCTCGCTTAGAGCTCGAGCTTGTATGTAGATAAATGTTATGGAGGTGACTTTGTTGTATGTTTGAGCAGGATACTTTTGTTAGGTCATGAATTCAGTAGAATACGTGTTTTTTGGGTGTGGGTGCTGGGGGATTAAGGGTGGCCTTTTGAAGAGAATTCAGTATATGTGGTTTAAATTTTTTTCCCTATTCTTGAATACAAAATATTGTTATTTGTCTATTTACATGCAGATCCTGGAAACAGCCTCTCTACCCTTCGGGGTAGGGGTAAGGTCTGCGTACATATTACCCTCCCCAGACCCCACTTGTGGGATTATACTGGGTCGTTGTTGTTGTTGTTGTTGTTGTCTATTTACATGCAGAAGAGATGCTATCAGATGAAGACAGAACTTTTACTTATCTAAATAACAATTAAGTGGCGAAGTTACATGTCGCGTCGAAAAATTACATTGCGTTTGTTAAGTAAAACTATTACTTTTAGAGGTATATAATATATATTGAATATCCTTTGTCGGAGAATTTTTTCACATTTTTCAAGTTTGAACACCCTTGAGGAAATTTCTAGTTCCGCCACTGTGAAGCAGTATCAGTATCGACCAAGAATTTCTTTAGATAAACAAATCCATTTTGCAAGTTCATTATTATATAAAAAACAAAAGTTCATTATTACGTGTAGTTTCTACAAGAAGAATTAACCTAAATAGCCGCCCACCCTACCATTTAAACTAAAAATAACTGGTGAATGTATAATATATGCATAATTTATATATTACATGTGTATAATTATGTATAATCTATGTATATTGCTAGAAAAAGTAAGCAATTAATATGACCAGCTATTTGTATAAAGATCCGATGGACTATTTTCCAATCTCTTCCCTTTTCACTACAATTTTTGATGTAGGATCTTCTGTAAAAATTGTGTGGGATAGCCACTTTTAAAGTGATATTTACTTTTTATTCAGCATTTTTAATGCTGAGCAAAAATAGCCACTAGTCTATTAAAATTAATATGAAAAGACGGTATTACCCTTTCTTCTATCTCTTGACCCCACCTTGGCCCAACACATCTTCTTCGCTTCAGTGTCAAAAGTCCTTGCTCTCGGCGATCTCATATCACTAGCTAACCCAATTCTTGCTCGGAGATTGACAGACTATACAAGGAAGGAGACGAGACGACTGTAAATAGGAAGAGGGAAATCCTCAACAAATTATCTTCTTTTTCCGTGACTTTGGAAGTTTCCAGGCCTCTCGTTCGATAAAATATAACCTAGAATTTTGTGCATTTGATTTGAACAGAATAACTGCATATGTTTTGCCGTTGTCCTGAACTTAGAGTTCCAAATTCAAAAGATAAGGACATGTAATCCTGAACTTAGAGTTACAAGTTCAATAGTTAAGGATAGATAGTCCTAAACTTAGAGTTACAAGCTCAAAAACTAAGGACAGGTAGTCCTTAACTTAGACTTACAAGCTCATAAGTTAAGGACAGCTAGTCCTGAACTTATAGTAACAAACTCATAAGTTAAGAACACTTGGTCCTGAACTTAGAGTTGGAAGTTCAAATATTAAGGACACTTGATCCTTAACTTAGAGTTACAAGCACAGAAATTAAGGACAGGTAGTCCTGAACTTAGAGTTCCAAGTTCAAAAGTTAAGGACATGTAGTCCTGAATTTAGAGTTACAAGTTCAAAAGTTAAGGACATGTAGTCCTAAACTTAGACTTACAAGCTCATAAATTAAGGACAGCTAGTCCTGAACTTACAGTAACAAGCTCATAAGTTAAGGACACTTGGTCCTGAATTTTATGAGCAGAAGGGTATTTTCATCCGGGCCGGTAAAAGTTTATTAAAGCAGTGACTAAAGACTAAAGACATTTTAAACAATGGCTTAAAAGTAAATACATGTCTTATTACGGGCTAACTGTACACTTCCCCCCGATCTTCTTAGCTACCAATTTTCAAACCATTACTGATTTGCAACAAAGAAAAAGTAAATTTTAGTATCAAATTTGTCTGCGTTGTAGCATAGATCTCATCCTCTGTATCAACCTTACGGCTACATTAAAATCTTCAATATCTAGCCTGATCTACAATAGCTTCTAAATAAATATTCTTATTATAACAGTGGACAAGCTGCGAAATAGAACTCGCAGCATTTTTGTTTTTCGTCTTGAACTCATTTACACAGAACGAAACAAAATTTGTCTCCATTTTCAGAACCGTTACTGTCAACAAATCCTTGCACTGAGTATTCATTTCCTATCACTGGATGCAGAAAACGCTAGAAGCAATCTTACAACTATAGTTGCTCGTATACTGGCTTACGATGATTATGGTTACCAACATGGTTGAACCACTCAGTGACTGCCATGTCGATTGCTCATCTTTTCAAAGATTTCTCAAGCAACTTATCTCGGTCAGATTGGGATTGACGTTCACCAAAGTGAAAATTTTAGTCTATCTTGTCTTCTTTGTCTCCAGAGCGAAGTGCTTCTGATGGAGATGCAGAACTACTTGGATGATCTACGTGGTCTCTTGAGGGCTCCTCTTTAAGAGACTGCATGACCGTAACCACCAGTAGCACAACGAGAACAAGAATAACTGCTCCAATCCCAATCATTGAGTTTCTGAAAGCCTTATAAGAATCTGAAGTGATACGTTTCTGTATAATACTTCCTTCCTTGTATCCTTGAAGAAACTGCGTAATTTGGGACCCCTGATTTTCCTCTTCAACACTGTCTGAGCCGATGACCTGTTGTTTGTGTAAAATGTCAATATCAGTATATAAAAATCAATTCGTATCACTATCACCTTAGTCCTAAAGTTGGAGAAGTTACAAATGTCTTTTACAGTATGGTGTCTAGTGTTAGAAACATAATAACTGAAGGATGAAGTGTTTAAACCTAAAGTATGTTTCCTAAGACTGCGAACACTATGCAATACATCATAACGTCATCTCAAAAATAGATAAAAGACTCAAAATTTTCTTCAAGGTGCCTCTATGGCTTCACCATATGCATCCATTCTTCCAGAGAATAGGAGCATATAAATCTTAAAATCTATTGAAATATGTTTGAACTAGGTAAACAATAAGAATTCAAGATAAAATCAACTTATGATTTTCATGTAGTGCTTTATTAGTTTATTAAAACCTAAGCAGGCATAAAATCTACTAAAAGTTAAAAGTGACTGGTACTCCCCATGAAGCAAATTAAACATGCTCATAGAAGAAACAAAGACAAATTCTAAATTCATGCAAAACTAAGGTCCAGAATAAGATCATGCCGAAAGCAATTGCCAGAGTTCTACAATATTTGTGACCTGAAACTTCTGGTGGTATCCACTACCCAGAGAGTGGATAAAAATCCAACTGCTGCATTTCTGACAGTATTTCATTTGTTTGGGCTTTCCATTCCTTGTTTCTCTTTTTCTTCTAGTACTTACATAGGCTAGCAATGTCTACCAAATCCATCAGGTCAGTCATGGTTCATGATCATTTGTTGAAAATGCAGACGTCTGAAACTCGTATAAGACTCATGAATAATTAGTGTTGTATTTCCTTTACAAGCTGGTTAATTGATAGATGAGAAATTGGCAAAAAAGGAGACAAAGTCTGAACAGCAATCTAGGCTAACTACAGATTCATGTCTCTATATATACTTATAAAATGAGAGAGGACATGCTTGTCGCTAACTTAACTGACATGATAAAGGAGCATGCAAGAAAATGTTATTAAGAGCAGTAAACTTTAGGCAAAACTATACTTGCACAGGGAGAGGAACAGAAGGTTTCGAGTTTACTGAAAAGTACTCCTCGTTTCCATCCCACACAATCATCTTTGGTAGTTTAATTTTCTTAGATACTTCAAATGACTCAGCAAAGTCTTGCCATTGCTTGAACCCAACAAAGGCAAACACCAAATCACGGTTTGCAGATGCAGCAGCTTTCAAGAGTTTTACTAATCCTTTTGACCTCTCATCATTCTCATCTTCTACAATTGTTAGAACAATTTTCCTCTCGTCGTCTTTCAACAACTTCAGAGTATCTTGATTAATAGGCAAAGCCAGAGGGAGCAAGCTCTGTTTGATAAAATCTTCAAGGAACTTTTCTGCAACCATAGCAGGAAAACTTAGATTCAGCCATTGTTTGTGCTATAATATTCAAGGCACAGCGTCAGCTAAAAATAGTTCTCAGTTGTTCTTTAATAAGTTGAAGAGCAGATCAATAGCAGAAATGATCAATTATAACGAACTAGGAACACCATATAAAGCTCGTGTGATGGAACTAGAGGAGCTATAACTGACATTTCAAGAATAAATACATCCGAGGATTTGTCATTTGCATGTTCCAAATGAAAGGAGAATATAGCAAGAACAAGGTTGGAGCTACACCAAAATTTCAAGAACTTACTTGCGTCCATCTAAAGAACTTATATCGAATAGCAAGCTTTATGTGTTGAAACTTATTTGCGTGAGGTAGGGATATGATTTTAATTAGTTTCATATCTTGGTGAAGCAGTTATGATAAGCTGACCTTCAAAGGGGCCATAGAAGATGCTCTGTTCGTGGTAGCTCGGATGAAGGGCTATCAGTGCAGGTACTTTGTCAAAATCATAGAATTCCATTGTTTTATCTGAGAAATCTTTTGCCACAGAAAACCATGCTTTTTTCTTGTATTTCACCGCCAAATGTGATATGGCAGACTCGTTCAAGCCAAAGCCTATGAATAAAGGAAAACTTTTGCCCGCTTCTTCAATAAATTCACTAATAGCTGAGTCGGAATTGAGTGCGGCCACATCAGGAGCAACAAACTTTTTCAAAAATCGCACAAGTAAATCTGCCTTTCTTGGTCCATAATAATCTGTTGGAACTCCATGCATGAATATCTTCAAAGTTGGAAATCCACTGCATTGCAACAAAATAAACATTTCAGTGTCTTTTTATCCAAACAACTGCAAACATTTACCAAAAAAACAACTATACTTCAATCCCAAACAAGTTGGGTCGACTATATGATCTACTGACCATGTCTCACCATTTAAATTCATCTCAGACAACAACTGAAAACATTTACTAGTGGTAAATTACCAAAATTTCTAAAATAAACATTGGTATAGTCTATGTCTATTTTGATTTTATTTGTCGCGTGGAAAGTAGCATCTGGTAAACTTTCAGTTCAAAATCTCTTCCTCTGCCTAAAAGGAAAATATGTTTGAATTTCAGCATAAATATATATTGTAGTGAAAAGGGAAGAGATTGGAAAAAATAAAGTTGAGCTTTTACGTGATCCAGCCTCTTGGGGACTCTAGAGAATATCCCCTACAGATTAAACAAGAACCCAATTCCAATCCTCAGGACCACAGAGTCCACAACTCAGCACCACGTTCCCATTCCCACTTGCATTATCTTCTATCCATCAGCACTTCCCTAATTATGCCTGTTACTGCTTATCTGACCTGGCTAACCTGCTTCTGACAAGGACTTACCAAATAAAATGAGTATCCTACATCAGAAAACAGCATTAGACGTACACGAAAATTCTAGAAGTGCCGGAACTACTTAGATATGGGATAGTCTCAAAGAGAGAAGGAACATTGAGATCATGTTCTGAATTGGGATATAAGAAGGTACGATTAAGAAGCTCTGAAGAGGTTAGGGATATGTGTAGGGCAGTGGATGATCATGGCAGCTGTCAGGTGTAGTGAAACAGCAAAGGGGCTCAGGCAGGATCATCAGTGTGATGCGCGCGGGTGTGTGATAGTCTATGCGATTTAAACAAGTATCCTTGTTCATTTTTTTCTGTTGCAATACAAATGGTTTCATACAGGGATGAATATTGGATCAGGAGTTCTTTTATAGGATATGCATCTACACTCTTCGGCAATCAATATAAGCATAACAAATTGATTAAGATCACAAACTGAGAATCCTTTTAGAATGCTAATAGAAATGTTTTACCAAACTAAAGAATACCTTATACTCTTCTTTTGGTTCGAGCAACTTAATTTAACCAGAAAACAAGTTGCATATTGAGAAAATGACTCGACAAAATAATTGTAGTAATAACTTATATGGATAAAGCAGACATACTCAATTTCATGTTTTGAAGCAACACGACTGTATTTGTCAGCATCCACTTTTGCAATTACAACGGGCTGCTTCAGTTCAGCAAGAATGGCAGCAGCTTTGTCCAACTGCGAGGAACTTCTGTCAGAGTGCTTCGTGATGTAACATTTAAAATGCCAATTATCCATAAAGACAAGAACAGGAAATATTGTTCACATGTCTACACTTGTATAGTGAAGAAAACAAAATCATTGTCCCTTTGGAGGCAAAAGAATACTAACATAGAACAGAGAGTATGAAGCTTAGTGAACTCAAGTAAAGAGCTTGATAACACGTTCTTCTATTGACGAATATATCGCTACCATCAATCTTTAGAAAGAAACAATTCAACCTCATCACTCAAGCAGTTTCAGTGACCACCAGCAACACACTTAACCCAATGTAGAAGCACCCATAAAGGGAGAAATTTTCTCTTAGAGGACAGGGAACAGCTGATAAAGTAGAAGTAAGCCCATCAGTCGATGACCAGGTGGTAACAATCACTTCTTACTTACGTGGCATATCATGATCTTGTATGACACCAGTGAACTTCCTTTGCAAGAGTACTCTAAGCCAACTTAATCAAATTTCCTTTTCCGATCCCACTTTCCTCTGTTGTTCTCAACTTATTCTCCACCTTTTGTACTGGAGGAATGACTTACTGTCCAAGGTATCTTAGAACCTTTGTTGCTCTCCTGAATGTATATCTAAGTGTGTATGAACCTTTCAAATTTGGTACAAGGAAGAATTTGACCAGTACCAGAAGAGAAAAGAAAGTCACAGCAAATGACGAAATGAGTAATTTCTCACTAGCGACCATAACACAAGCTAATTCAGTTGCTAAAATCAGCCCTCAAATGTGTTCTACTCAGCCTCTCAAACTTTGTTGTTCATGGAAAACAGCTTCTTTCTGGCAGTTCATCTATCATGGATATGAACCTAAAATACAGCATCCAAAATCTTCTTTCGTTATAACTGAAATCATTCTATGTTCTTTAATAGCACGAAGGAAGCTTCATTTTCCCCATAAGTTTAATTACGCGACCATGATAAGCCTTCCATCCCTCGATGATTTCAAATCAAAATCAATCATAAGCATCTATTTCTCTAGTGTCCGTTTTTTCTAGGAATTTCTCGAGTCTCAAATTTTAACACTATCAACACCTTATTAACTACCACAAGAGTGTGCCCATAATTTCATTGTTAAATTAGTAGGTATCAAATTTCCCATAGACAACTAATTAATAAATGAAATGTTTTGGAAATAAAACCTCAAGAAAAGACTAAATTTTAAGATGATATTACTTTTATGTCCTATGGTTTTTTTACCAAAGCAACTGTTTCTCTTATTCCATCATTACTTTTCGTAATTTGTGGTAAATTATCCTTTATTCATTTATTTCATTATAATGACACAACAATCAAGTAAAAGCAAATCCAAACTAGCTCTTTTTAATATAAGAAAATAAGCAAATTAAGCAAACTGAGAGAAAAGAAAAAAAGGAAAGACCTCAGGAGATAGACGTTTACAGTGACCACACCAAGGAGCATAGAAATCGACCAACATATAATCGAAGGTGGAAATTGCAGCGTCCAAGTTGGATTCTTCAAGTTCCAATACTTTCCCATCGACAGCGAACTGTTGCTTCTGCTCCGCCGCCTCGATCGACGGTAATGACGACGGAGATAGGAGGAGGAGGAGGCCGACGGTGAAGATCAAGATGGAGCGAGGAAGAAGCATCTTTTGTTCAGTGGAGCAGTTTGAATTGAATTCTAGAACTGGATCTGGTTTCTTTTTCCTTTTTATAGTTTACGTAGTGGCAAATTTCATTGTATTTCCTCTTATTTTTTCAAATTAAGAAGTGAACATTTGTTTTTCATTTGGCTATATACATAAAATATATAAAGTTGCCACAACTTTCACTTAGATAGATTAAACTCTTTATTGAATACCAATAAAAATATGTCCAAAATATAACCAATTAAACTCTTTATTAAAACTAATTGTAGACATGTGATTTTTGAGCCTTCTCAAGATTTTTCATATTTTAGCGTAAATATTTAGTTTAGGTTTTGTATCGCTCTCTTTACCTTATTTTATCTAAAAAAAAAACTACAAAAATATTTTCCCTTATCCTAACTTATCCTAACTAGTTGATATTTTGTCTAGTTAGTTTTATTTTTGAAAAAAAATACAAAAATAGTCTTGGCATTTTATTTTCCAAAAACAAAAGATAAGAAGAAAAAGTTCAAAAATATTTTGCATTTTAGTATATATTAATTAGTATTTAAATTTTATTACTATAGTAGTTATATGTCTTCTCTAAATATTTTTATTATCTTAAATATACTAGTATCTTTATAAAGCTATTTTTAAGAGAAAATAAAAAAAAATTAAAAGAACAAGAGTTAAACAGAGAGGAAAAACAGAGAGGAAAGAACGGATCTGTAGGATTAAAAAGTGAGTCACATACCAGACCTGGGTCTTCTTCTTCAAGCTTTCTTCCTTAAAATCTCTTTCAATTACTTTGAGCCATGAAAAGCTGAAATCTCAGCTCCAGAAAACGTAGCTACCGTAGCCCCTTTTCACCCCAAACCCGCCATGAAAACTTAAATCCTTACCTCCACAACATTACCAAAGATAGTTAAGGTTTCTGAGTCGAGGCTACCATTCGATATCGTCGAGGTCACCACGATGCTGAGAATAAAGTTGATTCGCTAGAGGTATTTTATTTTTGTATTTTGTCTTTATGACTTACTGAAATTTGTTTGAATAAGCATTAAAGTTTGGAGTAGTATATATTGTTATTTGGAAGATTTGTTTCTTTGGCCCTTTCGTACTTCTTTATTTTTGGAAAAAATGGCGTGATGTTTGGTTCCTTTAGCTGATGTCTTGTTGTTTGGATTTATTATTTTAATTTCTTGACTCATGAATTAATCTTATGCTAGCTATTATTATTTTAGTTTGTTTAATAAAAATAAAATTTCGTAAGTATATAAACAATGACGCGAAGAGCAGTGTGAACTGAGTTTGGTTATTAGTGTCAAATGGCTAGATTTCAAAAGTTGTTTGGAAGTATTAGAAATACATAATTTCGGATCCTTGATGTATCTAAGCGTTGGGTGTTGCTGGACTATTTTCAGGTAACCGTTCTTGTTGCATATGCTTCTCCTTTATGTCATGCCACTTTCTTGCCTTCTATAAGTTTTTTTGACAAGAAGTCTTAATAATGTCAATCTAGCAAGTCCTTTGAAACGATGTGCTGATTGTTTGAACTCTTTAGTACTAATCCAGCGCTGGAGCAGTGTAAGTAAATCTTAAGAAGTTCTGAGATGGTACAATTTACCATAATATATTGGCACCATTAAATTAAATCATCATCCTTATACATGGAATGCGATATTAATGTGAAAACACAATGTGGTTCGATTTACTGGTAAAGAGATAGCACATTAGTATTTGTGGAATTCGATTGTGTTCGATTGTTATAGTTGAATACAAATATCTACTTTAAAGAAATTGAGGCGCACCATTCACACAATTGAATCACATACCTTATGGCCCTCATATTAATTTTACAACTTAGTGTAGAAAGCATTTTGAATTCTCGTAGTTTGCTTTAGGCGCGTTAATTAAATAAAGTGTCATAGCTACGGGTACGGTTCCCGTGACGTAGTTGTGATGCTTAACTTCCTAAACTCGGGTGTGCATTTATGTGACCCAAATCCAAATCTCAACAACGTTAGATGAAATGTGTCGTAGACCGCGGGTGCATTTATGTGACGTGGTTCAAGACGTGTTTTATATGATGTTGAAATCTTCCCCAAAAATAATTAAATAAAAGCGGTTTAATAAGTTAAAATTGTACCATAGGTTAAAACATGTATTAAAATCAGTAAATAGGCCAAATAATAACAGTTGAGCGACCGTGCTAGAACCACGAAACTCGGGAGTGTCTAACACCTTCTTGTTGGCCTATTCTTGTTGTATTCACTATCAACAAGAATACAAGCTTGAACAATTACTAACTTACAGATATTAAGATTTTTGTATTTAACTAACTAACTAACAAATTAAAATAATAAATTAACACTAAAGGTACTCCAGGTGAGAGAAAATATTAAGGAGGTCTAGAGTTATGATTTTCCTAATTATCGGAATCCTTCCCGCTATGTCTTCTATAATTTTGCCTAAGTATTCTCTACCGATCATGAGTGCTCTGCGTGTTGTAATTCTCTCCCGAGTAATTACGACAATTTACTAGACATACTTTCCCGAGTTACGCTAGTTGGCTTTAATTACAGCTCACTTAGATCGTACCCAAGGTTTCGTTATCCCTAATCCCACCTTTAAACCCTTGGTTATTGATTCCTCACATACGTCGTGAGTGATGTTGTTCAACAACTACCTAAATATGCACTCTCTCCCGAGTAATATATACTAAATAGGCACAGCTAATTGAGGGCTCTTCAACCAACCACAATATAAACGTAGTGAACAAATAGAGAAAAGCTACGGCTCAATTATATAAAAATATAACAAGAATTTATCCTACAAAAAGTTCTATCAAAACTCTAGATAACAATTAGTTATTCATAATAGTATGTAAAACTACAATACTAAAAGTCATAACCAACAACGAAAAATAAGAAGAGGAAGGAAAAACTCGTAGAAGAATTCCCCGCCTTGCTCCTATTGTGTCTCTGCCTCCTTAGGTCAAATCTGTGTCAAAAGTATGTCCAACTTCTTCAAAATACCGTTTTCCCATGTATATATACCAAGTAGGGTTGGGCCCAAACAATTATACCTTCTCCTAGATGAAAAAAAACACTTTTCCCGGATTTGACTAGTGCGGCTGCGCTCGTGACCGCGCATATTACCCAGTATTCGGCCTGAAGAGCGCGGCCGCTCACTTGACGCGTACTTTTCACCCTGTTCTGTTGGGATTTGGAAAAACGTAAAACTTGAAAGTTGTATTCCTTTGAGTTAGCTTTTCAACTATATATTGTAGATCCTAAATGGAGTTCTGAGCGAAAAGTTATGTGCATTTTACTAGACAATGCGCAATATGTCTATTCGATTCTTCGTTCGCTCTTAATTATCATCCGTTGATCCCTGAACACGATCCCGACTTAATTCCTTGAGCTTTTACTCAGACTTCAAAGCTTCAAATTACTTGAATTCATTCCATAACATCTACATAGCTCGAAATCACTCTTACAAGGCATAAAACACACAATTAGTGCTAGACACTAGCGATTAAAATTCAAACTCAACTAAAGTGCAGTAAATTAGAGTGTAATAAGCGACTAAAATACGTAATTATAGCCTATCAGCAGTGTATAATATGCAATAGTTGTTAGTTGAACCAGTTCAATAGTTTTTATCTCAACTTATCTCGATCTTGCCATTTAATCCAAATATATGCAAATACATGGTCAATTAGTTTTGTGACTGTTTACAAACTTGTTTTTAGTTTTACGACCCTACCTCTTTTTTACACATAAGACATTTACTTTTACACGTAAGAGATCTAAAAAAAGTCATTTTCTTAATTTTAAAATTGTAGAGGGCCATGATCTACAAATAGCAAAAATACATTCCGCAACAAACAATCTACATTCATAGTGGGATTATTACTAGGTTGTTGTTGTTGTAACAAACAATCTACATTCATATTTATTAATAACAACTCGAGTCAATTGGTTTTTTGGCTTTTTACAAACCTGTTTTTAGTTTTATGACCCTACCTTTTTTTTTTACACATGAGAGATTTACTTTTACACGTAAGAGATCTGTCTTTTACACATAAGAGATCTAAAAAAATCATTATCTTAAATTCAAAATTGTAAAGGGTCATGATGTACAAATAGCACCTCATAAACTCATTCGCATACGAGAAATTAAAAAATAGCCAGATTTGCAACTGGTCGTTAAAAAATAGCCCAGTTTCAAAAGTAATCGAAATTTAGCCACTTTTTATGTAAAGATAAATCTAAGCAAAAGCACTGCTCAAAATCCGAAAAATATGCCAGTATATTATGCTGGAGTTCCAGCATAAGTATACTTGAACTCCAGCATATTATACTGAAGTTCTAGGATAAGTATGCTGGAACTCCAGCATAATATGATGGAGTTCCACCATAAGTACACTAGAACTCCAGCATAATATACTGGAGTTCCAGCAAGTATATCTATCCAGCATAATATACTGAAGTTTGGAGCACCGGTGCTCCAGTCTCTAGTATATTATAATGGAGCCAGTAAAGTATACCGGTCCAGCATAATATGCTGGAGTTCATATACAGGTGCACCGAACTCCAGTATATTATGCTGGACCGGTCTCTGTTGCAGCAAAATAGTGGCTATTTCTCATTGACTTGGTAAATGTTGGCTATTTTTGAAAGACCAGTCCGAAAATTGGCTATACCGTGCTATTTTGTTGTTATGCATAATAGATAAAGTTTAAATTGTGGAATTACCTCTTCAAGTCAAATCTTAAAAATTTATTTTTTGTGATTTTTGAGTCATTGGAAGATTTTATGAAAAATCTATAGATTTGTATGTCAAAGTGATGTTCGAGTCTATATATATTGACTATAATAAACTCGAATTAACACTTATAACATACCTTGGTTGATAAACTTTGTGTAAACCAAAATTGCCACTTTGAGTTCACCCTAAAAACTTTATTTGCTGTTCTGACTATGCAGTATATATAACCTAGGGAGGCAAGGGGCGGATCCACCTTGTGACCTATGGATTCACGTGAACCCAATAGTTTTTGTTCGAATAGTGTAAATATGTTTAAAAATTTCAATAATTATCTATAAATATTTAAATGTGAACTCAGTTATTATTGAAAATTTACTCGAGATCGTTACAGGAACCCATAAACATTAAATTCTGAATTCGCCTATGAAGGAGGCATGCACCGAGCGCATCGCGAACTCCTTGGACTTGGGCATTTTCTTCTCGTGATGGAATGCTCAATGCTCCTTGCTACACTGTCCACTCATTTTCGGCGTGAGCTTGCTCTAAGAGAACATTGTCTACCCAAGCTTGGGCTTCTCATCCTGAGCTCGCCCGTGAGAGCTCTCCCATCACTACTAGAAATTCGGCAAAAATCGACCAAGAAAAAATGACCAACTTTGGTCGGTCAAAAAACCGGCCAAAAACCTACCAAAGTTGGTCGCTTTTTCAAAAAATTTTAATTTTTAATTTTTTAATTTTTTTTTACGAAATCGACCAACTTTGGTCGGTTTTCTTTGGCGCAAAATGCGGGAACCTATTTTTGAGTCCCGCGAAATTTATTTTTCAAGAAATCGACCAACTTTCATCTGTTTTTGCAATTAAAATAAATAAAAATTAATATTAAAAAAATCGACCAACTTTGATCGGTAAATTTGGCCAAGTCATTTTAGAAAACTGGGTCGGTAATTTTATATTTTAATAAAATCGACCAACTTTGGCAGATTATTTTCGTGCGAAAATACAATTAAAGAGTAATAAAAAATAAGACAATCTTAAAACAAAATGCACCAATGGTTTAGTGGTAGAATAGTATCCTGCCACAGTACACACCCCAGTTCGATTCCCAGATGGTGAATCTTTTGATTGCATAATTAAAATACCGACCAACTTTGGCCGGTTTTTTTTGCGACCAACCTTGGTTCTTTCACCTTTGCGACCAACTTTGGTCGGTATACAAAAACAACCACTAAAATAGCGACCAAGCCTGTTTGGACGGGTTTTGGTCGGTATTTTGCATAAACAGACCAACGTTGATCTTTTTTGTGGTCGCTAAAACCCGAATTTCTAGTAGTGCATGTGCCTAGTCTTGGCTCAGGAACCTTCCTCATGATGTGAGGGTAATGCGAGAAGGTCCTAAACTCTTTACTCCACCTCCGATCACTTTACCATATCAATGCAAACTTTCACTTATTGTACAACACCCATTTCATAGGAATTCTTTTGCCATTTATTAATGTTATGATTTTATCCTGATTTTCTTACTATATATGAATTTTACCTTTTTATGAAGGAAGAGCACTTTACCATAATTGATTTTACTTTTCTTATAAGGAAAATATAGATCCCTTCTATATCTAACAAATCCCTTTCTTTGAGGAAAATGTTGTGACCTCCATAAATTGAGGATCCCTCCTTTATACAAGAAAACAATAGCATCCAATGTAGTTCTCTCTATAAGTTTTTCCTTTACATTAGTAAATTGATATAGGACACTTGACCAAACCATATTAAAATATTATGTCTCTTTTAGTATATTCTTTTGTCATCTGATTTATCATCGCCAAGGTTTCCTTTGTTAGCTTCCGCATGGTGATTTATTTTTCAATCCCAACAAGTGATATTAGAGCCAATAATTCAACGAGGTTGGAGACTGCTTCAATGAGGTTCAGATCAAGTTATAACCAATCTGATGATAAAAAAGATTCTTATCCAAAATCAAAAAATAGTGTGAGTACTACATGTGGGGACACACTTTCAACCATATATTTTCAAGAGAAACTATCAGCTATGTCCATTTATAAGTAGTTTATTATAAAAATTAACCAATTCATTAAATATTACTAATATTAGCCAAATATTACCAATATTAGTCAATTAGCTATTTGTAGCCAAAAAAATTAAATTTTTGCTTTCTTTTGAGTGAGTGTTATTAGAATAGATTGGGTATATCTTAAGGAGTTTGAATCTCAGTTTTGGAATGATTTGGCGGAGTTTTGAGATGGTTTGAATTGAAAATTCGAATTAGAGGATGAAACATGAAAAAAGTAATATATGTATCATACTGTGTATCATTTGTGTATCACATATGTATCGTATTTGTATCAAATGTGTATCACACACACACACACACATATATATACACACATGCACACACACACACACACACACACACATATATATATATATATTCATATATACCTATGTGTTTGATACACGTGTCAAAGAAGAATTTTTTGAACTCGATTTTAACTATGAATTTTGATATCAATCAGTCCAAATCACCTCCAATCTTCCTCAAAATTTGTATATTGACTCATCTATATGTTTTCAATGAATTTCAACCTTACCCATTGTAAAATGTCCTCTTTGCTAGATTTATTGGAACTTNTATATATATATATATATATATATATTCATATTTCATCACCTTGTTTGCTACCACATCCATAAAATTTTCTTTCCGTCTTGCATTTAATATTGTTGATCACACTTAAAAATATGAAAAGAGATCTTTGCGTGTGATTCTTGGAGAGAAAAAACCTTATTTATTTGAGTTTTCAATTTTTATGTGTGTTTCGCTTGTTTTGGTAAGTCTATGATTAATAGCTAGAGGTTGGTAAGTTGGAACTTATTTGGGACATTATGTAGGATTCCCTATTTTCAACATATCCCCTACTGCATCTTTAAAACAAAAATTATTTTTAGCCCATGCTTATGGCCTCCAATTTTCCACTCATGCTTACATTTAACGCATGAGCTCCACTTTAACCATGTTCATGACTTTAACGCATGTCTTCAATACTTTTAACACATGCTCACTTTTGACACATGAGATCCACTTTAACCTTGTTTACTTTTGATGCAGGGCTTAAATACTTTTAACCCGTACTCACTTTCAATACACGAGACTCTAATTTTTAATCCATACATATTTTTAACCATGACAAGCAGCAATGATGAAATTATGTGAAGAGGGTAGATCATGTTTGTCAAAAGAATTCAAGTCAAAAGGGGAAAATTGTTAGGATTTTATCCTGATGTATATGAATTTTACCTTTTCTTGAAGGAAGAAAAAAGACTTTACCATAATTGATTCTACTTTTTCTATGAGAAAAATACATATCTCTTCCACATTTAAGAGATTCCTTTTTTGGAAGAAAAGGCTGTGACCTCTATAAATTGATGATACCTTCTTCATTTTTTTTACACAAGACTGTAGCTGCAACAGCCTTAAAAAAACTCATGAAAGAGCTAATCATATACAACTTCTCTTCCATGAGGAAAGAAAATATATAAACTTACAAAAAAATTAGCTTTATCAAATCTACTTCTTATGCTAGGCAACTCCCATTTATCTAAGCAAAAAGGACCCTTAGCTTCTCGAGGCAACTGCTGGAATGTGTAGCATTATGAGCTATTGCCACTGTTTGCAACTCTTTGGCAAGATCAGCCACCTGGTTGGCTTCTCTATAGCAATGGGTAATTTGAACTTCTGCCTGATCTAGAATCTGTGTATCTTCATGTTGTTGGTGTTCCTCTCTTTTAACATATTGGTCCCTATAAGAGAGTCAAGCTCTAAGCAGAATTTGGTATATCCCTGTTGAATGCACCACTCTCCACCAAACTTGGCTGCTACTGCCCCTGCTTCGTTGTTGCTTCTACAGTGGATTGGTATGGAGAAGGCCATGATGAGATCTCCATGTGAATCTCTTATTACACCTCCTATACCTGCCCTACCAGTGTCAACCAAAAAGCTCCAATCTGTATTTGCCTTAATCATATCCTATGATGGTTTATCCATGTTACTTGCCAATATCTCACAATAGGTTTCATTGCTTCCACCTCTTCACAAAGTCTCACCCAAGGCCAATTCAGTTTGCAGTTAGGATATGCTACAGTAACAACAGCTTGAATGGTCCAAGTGATTTGCTGCTCCATGTGAATATAGGCAAACCTTTTGTGGTCTCCAAACTTGCAAGAACTCCAACTTTTCTAAATTTCCCAGAAGATAATTACTGGTACAATCTGCAGCAATAATTTATTTTATGCTCGACTTCTCACCACTTCTTGAGAATCATCCTAACAGGCCATAGAGGCATACCAAATCTATTCCAAATGTATCTAGCAGCATCACCTTCACTTAATGTATGATGAATGGAATCACATTTTGGTCTTTGACAACAATTACATCTAAAAACTGGCCGGTTACCAAACTTGGCGATTATCTCATCAAAAGGTAATTTACTACGGCATAATCTCCAGGACATGAAGGAAATTTTGAAGGGAACGCACTTGTTCCATAGCCTGTAAAGTGCTTCATTTCTCTGCCTTTTGCATCTAGTGATCTGCCATGAAAATTTATTTGTGTATTTTTTATCCTCTATAAGGCTCCAGATGGCATAGTCTTATTCATTCTGCTCCCCAATCCTAAGGTTAGCTATATGTTGCACAGCTTCATTAGCTAGGATCATACCAAGTTTTTCCAGGTTCCATTGACCTTGTGTAATGTATTCCTGCACCTTAGCCTTTCTACTGCCCCCTGAATTAGGAAACATATTATCTAGAGTACCCTTCTCTGTCCAATTATCGAGCCAGAAGTTGCAAGTACCTGCATTTATTTTCCAAACAATATTTGCCTCCACTTGCTTCCTAACAAGAGTCATATGCTTCCACGATGGGAATCACCTGATACCCAAACTTTAATGGTTGGGTGAGCTCTAGCACAGTATTTTGCCTCAAGGAAAGAAGCCCACAAAGATGGTTGAGTTCTGAACCTCCACCATCTTTTTATAGCAAGAGTATTACTGATATCCTCCATGGTTCTAATATCAATACCTCCCTCATCCTTAGGAGTACATAAATTCTTCCGAGAACTCTAGTGATATTTAGTTTTATCACTTTTGGAGCCCCAAAAGAAATTAGCAAAATGCATCTCGAATAGGTTCAAAGTACCCTTAGGTGGACTCATAGCTGACAAAGTATACACAGGCAACGACTGCAATACACTTTTAATCAGCACTACTCTTCCTCCATATGACAACATCTTTCCCTACCAACCATTTAATCTTTTTACCACTTTAGTAACCATGCCATCAAATAATTCTAACTTCTTCCTTCCAATGTACAGGGAACAACCAAGGTAACTGAAGGGGAAATTTTTTTCCAAAAAGCCAGTACACTCCCTCATTCTATTAATTCTGTGTGCACCAGTCTTACGATCTGTGAGGAAGAAGCTCTTATCAGTGTTTACCTTTTGTCCAGAGGAGGCTTCATAGTTACTTATTTGCTTCATTATGAGCTTTACTGACTTATTGTTACTGCTGGTGAAGATGACTATATCATCTTCATAGGCTAGATGGTTAATGAGAGGGCCTCTGTGACTCATGGTGAAAGGAATTAAATCAACATTGTCATGAACAACATTAAGAGATCTAGACAAGACCTCAGCGGCCAAAATAAAGAGAGAAGGTGATAGTGGGTCTCCTTGCTTAAGACCCTGTGAAGAGGTAAAAAAAACCTCTTCTAGTACCATTGATAATGATAGAATACCAAACATCAGCAATCACCCTCCAAATCATATCGATCCAAAATTCCTCAAAGCCAAACCTTTTTAAGACCTCTAGTATAAATGACCATGACATCCTATTTTATGCCTTAGCCATGTCAAGCTTAATAACCATATTTCCTCCCATGTTGGTCTTGGTGATATTTTGAATAATTTCTTGTGCTAATAAAATATTTTCGGTGATGAGTCTACCCTTGACAAAACCACTTTTGGTTGTCTGAAATCAATTTGGGAAGAAGAGGGTTGAGCTTATCATCCAAGATTTTAGAAATGATTTTTTTGTTAAAGTTGCTAAGGTTGGTTGGTCTCAACTCAGAGAAGCTGGTGTGTGATTCAACTTTTGGAATTAAGACTAAGCAAGAGTGTGAGTAATATCTTGTAAGCTCCTTTCCTTTAAAAAATGCCAAAATAAAATCCACCACATCCTTCTTAATGATCTCCCAAAAGGGTTGGAAAAATGTTCCACTATACCCATCTAGTCCAACGGTACTCTCTGCACTCAGACTAAATATTGTATTCCTGATCTCTGATTCATCTGAAAGCTCAGAGAGCATAGCATTTTCATCTTCTGTGAGGCATTTTGGTATACAACTAAGCACATTGTGATTGATCTCAGGTTGAGGAAGATTGAACAACTTGGAGTAGTGTCTGGTTGTTGTTCTTGCAATCTTATCATCACCCTCCACCCATCTACCTCTGTTGTTCTTTATTCTATGAAGCTGAAGCCTTCTTCTCCTTTATCTCAACATATAATGGAAATACTTAGTATTGCAGTCTCCTTCTTAACCACTTAGTTTGCGTCTTCTGTTTCAGAAGATTCTCTTGTAATCCCAACCAATTTGTGTATTCTTCATGAGCTTTATTTATGTCCTCCCTACTGTGTTCTGAATTCAGCTGAATATCAAGATCTTCCAGTATGTGTACATTAGCTTCCCATTCACTTACTTGCTGGCGAATATCTCCCACTTTATCTCTGGACCATTGATTGAGATTTTTACCAAGCTCCTGAAGTTTGCTCTTCAGCCTCCATATAGCATTCCCAGTAACTTGCACATCCCAAGCTTTTTGAAAAACCTCTAGGAAGTCCTGTTGTTCAGTCCAAAAATCAAGGAATCTGAAATATTTGATGACTTCTTAATGATCATTGTGACACTTCAAAAGAAGAGGTCTATGGTCAGAGCCAGTCCTTACCAGGTGTTTCACACAATTATGTTGAAAGACCTGACTCCATTGGTCATTCACAAGAATCTTGTCTAATCTTTTCTAAATCCTTTTCCTAAGTCCCCTATTGTTGCACCAAGTAAATCTGGGACCAGTGAAACTGATGTCACTAAATCCACAAGCTTCCATAGTAGTGATAAAGTCAAAAAATTTATAAGCTCTATGAGGTTTTCCACCTAATTTCTCTTCTGGATCCATGATAACATTGAAATCACCTCCAATACACCATGGGCCATCTATGAGCAAATTAATATCCACAATACTGCTCCAAAGATCTTTCCTTTCCATAGTTGTGCATTTAGCATATATTGCAGTAACATAAAGACCCTTGTCTTGCATATTATCTTTAATATTAAGAGTGATTTGTTGATCATCTTCTGCAATAACTATAGGATCACATTGACTATTGCAGAAGCACCAAATTTGGCCACTAGGATTAGTGACACCATGTTGGAATCCCAAAAATCTCTTGTAACCTTCAATCTTGTTCTTATCAATAAAAGGTTCCATGATTGCAACAAAGACAACCTTGTTAATGTCAATAAGATATTTTAATCTATGTATGGCCTTTTTAGATTTCATCCCTTTATATTCCAAAATATTGTATTAATCATGGAATACTAGAGGAGTTATAGCATGTGTCTGAACCATTCCTCTATGATGAGGTGTGGTTCTGTCCCTTGTTCTTCTTCCTCTTTTTCTTTGTTCACTTCTTCCTCTTCTTTCTGACTCATTTGGTTCCTCTTGCTCTTTGTTTTCCTTTTCGTTGATTTGTCTATTTTCAGTGTTTCCCTCCCTGCTTTTTGAGTTCTTGGATTCAGGAGAGGTAGTTTCTTGGACTGATTCTATGTCCTTGTCAACATTCTTCAATTGAAGATCAGTATTTCCCGCATATTGATTATACTGGAGGTCCACACACTGATGGTTTTTTATCTCTGGGGCAAGGCTAGTTGATTCTATGTTCTGTATACTCTCTGCAACTTGATTCACTTCAGAGTTTTGTTCCCAGTCTTTTTCAGTTTTTACTGCCTGGTGTTTCTTCTTCTTTTCCTGCTTTTTATTATTTGCAATATTTGCTAATTTGATGTCTTCAGTGAACTGAATTGAAACTTCCATTACTTGAGCACTGGTATTTGATTTGTTGCTACTTCTATGTTGTTCATTATCATTTTCCTGTTCGTCATGTTCTTCCATCGCCAAGTAACTACTTTTGTTATCTTGCTTGCTATTAGAGATACTCTTGTGAGTTGCCTGGTGATCATTTGTGCCCTCAATTACTTGGACAGGGTGAAGTGAGCTACTGGCACTCCTTGGTTTCCTACTACCACTCTAGGACATAGCAGGCTTGAAAGTTACTTTACTCTTTTTTCTGGGCATCTTCTTCTTTTTTTGTTTCT